GTTTCAAATCTGACATACACACTGCATGGCCCTCGCATCCAGCCTATGTCCGGCTCAGTGTCAATGCTCGAGGCTCTTTGTGAAGGAATGCACAGCTGCACACAGACATGTGAACTTGGGCATGTCACCAGTTGCAGATGCTTGGAGGCCGGTACCACCGCTGCCATCTCCTTTCCAGCACACTGCAGCTGGCAGGTGCCCAAGTCTGCCTGGGAGACAGTGCTGGGCCTGCCCCATGCTGTGCCTCCTGGGTGGAGCCTTGGTCTCTCCACTAGGAATGGTGGCAGAGGCCGCGTGTGCTGGTGCGTGGCACCAGGCAATCCCCACAACGTCTCCGTAGGACGCAACTGTTGGCCATTTCCTGGAGGAGGAGCCACGCCCACTTCCGGAGGCAGTCAGCAATGCTGTCAAGCTCCTGGGTTTCCAGAGCAGAGCCCCTATCTGTCGGAGTTGCCCAGGCATTGAACAGAGTGCTCCCCCTCCCCTCCAGGCACATAGCCCGAGCCATAGTCAGGGGTCGCTGCGCCCTCCATTTGCGCCAGCCCTGGCCTGGGGTCCCAGCGCCAAGAACCAGACTTCACTCAGCTCCCACCTCCTGCTGTGGGCAGGGGCGAGGTGGCGGAGGGGCCAGCTCCTTCACCCATCATTTACCTTTCAGGGGTGAGACGACTCTCCCCCTGCCTGTCCACACACCCCGCACCTGCTTCCAAGCCACTTTGAGAGACTCCTAGGAGCCTCCCCCGACCGGAAATCCTACCTAGAGATGCTTCTGTCTGCACCAGCCAAACGCTGCTCTGACTTCAACTCGGGAGGGAAGTCCGCTCACAGGGGGCAGCCGCGGTGACGCTGCCCCGGGTCAGGATGGCTATCACGGCTGACAAGCGAGGGCCTGGAAAGGCTATTTGGACTTTCTCCACTTAGGTAAAAGCCAGCAGACAGCGCCCTTCAGCAGGGCTAAGGCCAGGATCTCCTGACAGAGTCGAAAGGAGCATTAATGAAACCTGACCCCCAACACCTGAGCCGCGGAGCCACTAACTCCTATTTCACAGGTGCTCACTGAAAGAAAACAGGGAAGGGCGTTGACAGAGTCGAAAGATTCCACACAACAAAATACTTACAGAAACTGAGAAAGTCAAGTGAGGTTTCTGAGGCTCGGAGGCAGGCCAAAGGGGCATAAAGGTTGGTGATGGGAAGAAGAAAGAAGGGACTTTATGAAGAATCTTCTCAGTGCTGAGAAGTGCTGAGTCTGAGAGAGTCTTCCCTGAGGGTTTGTTCTGTCTGGGGGAGTCTTTCCAAACTCTGGGAAGACTGGGAGATGGAGCTTACTAGCAAGCACAAGGCAGCAGCCACTCCCTAAGGGAAAGGTGTGGAAAGGGAAAGCTGGAGCTATTGGAAACACACACACACACACCTGAGTCAGACTAACAGCTAAGTATAGGGATGACCAGCTAGAGATCAAGTGAACTCAGCATCATGTAAACAGTGAGCTCATAGGGTGAATGTAAAATGTTCAGTGTAAAGGGCCCCCCTGGAGGCGACGGGTCAAAACGCAGCACTCTGAAGCCAGCCCCAGTTACTGCAGCACGAGTTCAATCCCCGGCCAGGGAACTGACCCATGTGGAGAGACAGACCTCTCCTGTCTCCCCTCAGCAGTGTGCTTCAGCCTGTTCTGCTCCCTACTCTGTCTCTGGTCCTTTCACCGCCCCTGCACCTCTGGCCTGTACCCCAGTTCTGTATACATAAATAAATCTTTTTTTAAAAGTTCAGTATACAATTCCTTCCATTGCTTTTGATGTGTGAAAAAATTGCAAAATAAAATGGGAAAAATGAGAAAAGAGTGAAACAGACGCAAGTAACTAGATGAGGCACCATCACGAAATTTCAGGTGAATCTAAAAGAAAACATGCATCTTTCTCACAAAGTTGTCTGTCCGCGGGAAGCTGAACAGGAAAACCCCACTTGGGCTTGTACAGAGGACGTAGGTAGGGGAAAGTGGAAAAAAGCAGAGAGATCAGCAAGCTCTGGCAAGAAGGCAGAGAACAAGCCATGGAGCATGTGTGCCTGTGTGCATGTGTGCACGTGTGCCCGCTGGTGTGTGCCTGTGTGCATGTGTGCACGTGTGCCCGCTGGTGTGTGCCTGTCTCTGTGCGCACGTGCACGTGTGCCCGCTGGTGTGTGCCTGTG